GAAAAAAAATGTGATGGAACTTTAAGGCCATGTTCTTCCCAATTTATTTTTTTTAGTTATTACTTATTTTAATTTGAATCAGATCAGATCAACTAGATCAGATCTGAAAATAGATTTAAATATAACTATATTTAGATCATACCAGATCAGTTCATATCAGATAGATCAAATCAAAACTTAATCCATTTAGATCAGATCAAGTGATGTAAACACTACCTAATTTCACAAGATATTTTAATATCATGATTTTCAAGAATTACAGGAATAAGAATGAATATAGAGATCAAATAATAAGACTCGAGAATTGTATGAAAGACCTCCCTCTATTTGTATGCCTTGGGGTAGGGGTGGACACGGTACGGTTCCGGGACGGTTCCGGTTCCGGAACCGCCGGTTCCGGTACCGCCACCCCTTGGTACCGGTACCGGTACAGATCGGCCGGTACCGGTTCCGGTTCTGGTACCGTTTCGGCCACCCATAATTTTTTTTTTTTGCTTTTTTATTAAATTTTTAAAGTGTAGAATTGTAAATGTTTAATTGTTAAAAGAAAGGATGAAATGAAAAACTCTAAAAATGAAATTAATAAAGGAAAGAATGAAATAAAAAATAAAAACAAAAAAAAATTAATTACGGTACCGGAACCGGAACCGGTACCGCCGGTGCCGGTACCGAAAAATGGGCACCGGAACCGGTACCGGAGTGGGCGGTACTGGTACCGGTTCCCGGAACCGGTGGACCGTCCCAGCCGACGGTAACGGTACCGTTTCCGGTCACGGTACCGTACCGGTACCGTGTCCACCCCTACCTTGGGGTATTTAGCCTACCAAGCTTCCTATGTATATAATGTGCTTTGTTTGATAATCTTACTATTATTTATTTGAATATCATTATCAATGTGTGATACTCCCTCCATTCTTAAATATTTGTCAACTTTTGATTTTTTTTGTCAAAATTGATAAACTTTGACCTCAAATTAAATAAAAATGATATTAGATATTGATACAAAATTTTTTATATTAAATTTATTATATCAAATATTTTCAAAATATTATTTTATTTAATTAAAATAAAATATATATTTTATTTAATTATAGGTCAAATGTTGAAAACAGTTGACCAAAAAAGTCAAAACTGGATAAATACTCAGGGACGGAGGTAGTACATGATAATAAAATGTATTTTTTTGTAGTGTACTCATTTTATTAAATATGTATATAATTTCCTCTTTTTTCATAAAAGTATATGTTTGTTTATAAGAATTTGAAATAATCTTATTTTTTATTATTATCAATATTTATGTTGTTGTTAGTACTCCAGAGTATTATTTTATGATACAACAACAACAATAAAGCCTTACCCTACATTGTAGTAGGGTTGGCTACATAGATAGTGTAACACCTTAATCCGTCCAGGTCTGCAGCCCCTTTCGGACTAAAGTATTGATTTGGTAATCGTGATAATTTAAAACATTTCAAACATTTTTATTTATAAATAATATTCCATACATAATTGTAGAAAATGCGGAGTGTTTAATAATAATGCGGAAGCGACTTTTAAACATGTTTCATAACAACATAATTATTTATTTTGTTCAATGATCCACCACGACTGTCTCGCCCCTTCTGCTGCCAAGAACATGCCATTCACTCATTCTGTCTACCTGCGTGTAGCAAATAAAACATACTACACGCTCAGCGATGAAGCTGAGTAAGCATATCTAAAGCGTCGAACATCCAAATAAATTGAATCTCAATTCATAATCAACCATTTGATATAATGCACACAATATATGATTCAACATTCATGATATTCTCAATATTTTATTCCAAGTCATTTGATATTCAATATCTCAACCATGCTCTTAAATTATTCTTAATCTAAGGCCAAATTATTTTATAACAAGTTCTTAGCTATTCCTAGTCTAAGGCAATATTTCTAACCAGGCCCTTAAACTATAAATAGTTTAATGCAGAACACAAGAATCGATAATCCACCCTATGAGTCATGTGAATTACGTACCAACCGAACAATGATTTGTCGGGTGGGTGATATCCGGTCTGGATCCAGTACGTACGTTTTAACCCGAAATATGAATTGGTCAAGTAGATATATCTTAGAGTTCTTCTAGATATCCTTAA